TGTAAAATAAATAATAATATAATCATATACTGGACAATACTTAAAATATCCTGAATGGATCAAGTACATGAATATAACCTGTAAAATAGATAATAATACAAGAACAACACATTTACTGTACAATAGATGAGACTTGAAACATTATACTGAGTAATATCCTAAAAATATACAAGAGTACATTGAAATGTATAATACAAGTACATACGACACTTGAAATAGTATCCTGAGTAATATCCTAAAAATATACAAGAGTACACTAGAATGCATACATATGCACATGTACATGTATAAAGATTAGGGCAGGACTTTATTACCTACAAACATAGAGTGTACATAATAATAATACACACGTACCAATAATGAATGAATGGATCATTGAAATACTGACTGGTTGTCCTACATAAAACAATAGAGCCAGTATAATATGATATAATACACACACTACCATACAACTTGACTTAGTCTTCAATAGCTTCAGTTTTAATGTGCCTATAATGAGATAATAAAGGAGTCACTAACCAGACACTGAGGATACTGGAGGTATGGTGGAGGAGTGGTGATAAATGGCGGATACTAAAAAGGAAGAGGTTAAATCAGTAGATATTTACCAATTAAGGCTGTTAGTAAGAGAGAGAGTGGAGGCCAGGAACTTAGCAGGAAGAGATAAAGAGAGAACTTACTCATCTTCTTTTCAAATTGTGAAGATGGCGGGAATACTTTGCCTGGGCCTGCCACGTGCAGTATAGTACTGGGCATGCCGCGCGCAGTATCACGTGATTGGAAGCGATTTTTTTTTTTTTTTTTTTTACGGACATGTACCTATGCATGTACAGCGGTATACAAAAACCACGTGCCTACACGTGGACTGAAGCTTATGGGTAAAGATTAAAGCAAACAGCTGAGCCAGCAATAAATAGCAAAAGGGAACTACACAAAATATACAATAATACAATGGTAAGCAGCTCTAGGAGTTCAGTAGTTAGTGAATAGCAGCAGGGACAGCCCAGTCACAGTTGGACTCAACCTTAAGATTATCAACTCCTCTTATCAACCTAAAGCAGCCAGCTTCACCCCAAAAGGTACCCCCTACAGTAACAGAGAGAGAGATAATGTATGATTATATTGTTAACTATTATGAATTATAAATGAAAATAAATGTGATTTTAGCACCATGTAATCATTAATTTTTTAAATCAAAAAAACAACAGAAGCTTTCCTTTCAATAGTACATAGTGGTAGGTGTATATTATGATAATGCACATACATGAGTTGCGTCCAATCCAGTATTTAACTCCTCCACTAGTAACTCCCCAACCAGCAATGGATACCTCATGATCCAGTGACTATACAATAGAGGATATGCGTGCTAAGTATATTCATAGCTTTTTGGTACCGTATATCTAACCCACACAGTAAATTGGCCGCCATGTTGGACGTCAAGTTTATTAAGAGTTCAATGGGGGAAAACACATTT